GGATGGCACTTCAAAGGGACTACTTAGTAGTGAACAAAATCCAGTCCTGAGGGACATAAGGGTGTTATTTTGCAGTTAATGTACAACCCACCACAGAACTGCAGGAGGCCAAGAGAAGAAATACGAGAGAGGGCCAACAGAGCAATGGTCGACACACTAGGCCGAGGTGTGCCAGAAGCACCACATGGGGGAGTCAACATTAGTAAGTTTATGGGTGATTTCAATCACAAGGAGATTGATGGGAAAAACCAGGAACCCCGTGGGGGGTCCCCGAAACATTGAGGAGGGCCAAGAATGATGGATGTGGAACTAGGGAAAAACTCTCATGCATCAACATGTTAAGACACTAACCAGAGAGAGGTGAGGATGAGCCAGCAAGGACTGGACGCTAGTATAGCACCTTTAGTAGTTCGTACAGTCAAGGATATCATGTAATAAAGGCCCCCTGGGAGGTTCTAATGATTCATGTGGTTCTGTGCTTCGACTACATAGTTAGGGCTTCAAGTGGAGAGAGTAAGCAGAATAGGTTGGGGAATAAACCAAACTACAAAAGGGGGAACTACTCAGGGCATGAGGTAGCTTCTGTCATAGACATATCAGTGGGAGATGGAACTGACAGGATAACCAGTAGCAAGAAATGAGTGGATCTATGTGGCAGCAAAATGGCAAGGAGGCAGAGTGAGTAGGTTTGTTCCTTCAAGGGAAACAGGAAAATAATGGGAAGAACAGAACGAGTCCTTGGTTCACCCAAATGTGTAGGGAAGGCAAAAACTAGTGTACCTAGAGAATGGAAAAGGTAACAGAAGACAGAGAACTCAGAAAATAAAGAGATTTGCCGAAGATGCTCAGAAACCGAATATGCACAGATAAGAAGGAGGCTCAGAGACAATATGAAAATGACATAGGGCAATGAAAGTCAATTCTGACCCGAATAGCTGTAGTATATGCACATCAGTGATGAAAACAACATTCAAGGACCAGGTAATCAGAACTGAGGAAGGATGATGAGGTTTCACAAGAAACTACCTGAGAAGGTATGTCAGGAGAGCTCAACACTAGATTTAAAGAAGTATTTAGGGCATGGAACCATTAGACTCGGCAGGAATCAGAACCATGGAGGGTACACGAGGGGAGTGGGGGGGGGGGGGGGGGGGGGGGGGGGGGGGGGGGGGGGCCAGCAAGTGCTGGATGAGGTCGCATATAATCGCAAGGAGGAGTGTGAATAAGCGCTATGGCGAACTTGACACCTCACGCTCAAAGGTGTGGGACGACAGACAGAACATCTCTCCTCTCCGTGGGTCCTTAAAGAGAGGAGCAGAATACTGGTGTGTGCCATTAACAAAGATTCTTCAAAACACATCAAATGAAACGTGGGGCAACTCCCCTGAGATAATGAAGAAGGGCAAATGTAGTCCCAATTTTTAAAAAAGGAGAGCAAATATTTCCCTTTTTTGATGACTGATGGTGATCATGTGCCACCCAACCAATATTCCAATATCCTGAAGAAAGTAATACAATTAATATGCAATGACTGTCAATATCTATCTTACTGGTATTTTAATGCCGACACAAAAATGTTCATATACAGCCTCTTCTCACATAGCGATGTACTTGTTTATCGACAACTTGGACTTATGACCACTCTCCAACCAGTAAGAAAACCTAAAAATGTATATTAGAGTTGATTTCCTCTATTCTGTGTATTACAGTATAGTACTTCTGTTTAAAACATTTAAAAATATACTGAAAATGTTATCAATGGGGGCAAAGGTGACTTTAAAAAAATATCTAAAGATGGTTTGACAAAAAACCCACTACCAATAAAATAGCTCCTCGCTTAAAGACCAATTTGCTTACCAACTTACTCTTAGGAACAGAACCCAGTCGTTAAGTGAGGAGAGGCTGTATTAATTTAAAATAAATTTCTTTAATCTGGGGGTTAAAATATGCTGCACAAGACTTAAGAAATCGTAATGACACGATTGCAAACAAACCATACCCCCGGCCGGGATTGAACCGCGGTCATAGAGTGTCATTATGATTTCTTAAGTCATTTGACGGCAGTGAAGGGACTTGAGCTAGAGTTCATCACGGCCACGCTAGTGGAGATTCGTCTGTAAAAACTTGCATTGTGGTCACAGAGGTGCCTGTGCTAACTTTCCTATGGTGTAGAAATATACCTAGTTGGATGAATCTTATTGTGGCTAGCTGGTCTAGTGGCAAACGCGACGGGCCCTGGAGTTTTGAGAGACTAGACCGGGGGTTCAATCCCGGCCGGGGGTATGGTTTTATGCGGGCACAAGTTTTATTATACACGTATTTAAAACAAACTCAGTGTATCTGGCTTAATATACCATTAACCTAATGATGTTTTGTGGAAGGTTCTATATTAACCTCAACTTCTAAATAAAAAGGCTATTATATAAGAAATAAGGTAAACAAAGATATGAAGACACAATACAATTTAAAAAAAAAAAAAAAGTTAAAGGATATGCAGCAACCAGTGAATCATGTTATAAAAGGTATCATACCTTATTTTTAATGTTATTTTACTGCTTGAAATCACAATAGGAATTGGAAGGATAGTCAGAAAGCTTTTGGGCGAATCTTCTTAATTTTTTTTTAGCACATTGGCCATCTTTATTCCTGTCATTACTTTTTAAACACTGGCTGTCTCCCACCAAAAAAAAGAAGCACCTCTTCTTTTTACATTTAGTAATTTATACAGGAGAAGGGGTTACTAGCCCTTTGCTCCCTGCATTTTAGTTGCCTCTTAAGACAAGCATGGCTTACGGAGGAAGAATTCTTCTCCATTTCCCCAAGGAGATTCTTCTTATTTTTATTACAGAAACCCATAAAGAAGTATTAAACTGTAGGGATTTTACAGAACCTGAGAAATAGGAGATAATCAGGTTTGATCCAAGGAAATGGTATGATATTTATGGAACACTTTGACCTACAAGGAAGGGAAGGATATACTTAATTCCTTCAGTCAAGAACCTATCACCAGCATCAAGGCATTCACTTTCTTTGCCCCGATCCCCAATAAGTGATAACCTATTTTCAAAATAGGTACAAAAAGGCCAGATTATTTTTTTCAGTATAAAGTTTTGAAAGTTTCAACCCAATTTAAAAAAAAAGCCACAAGGGTAAAGCCATAAGGACTGCCTACCCAAATACTATTCAAAATAATTACTTTACAGCTTTGCAGTACTTACTTGGAAATAATTATTAAGAATATGACTATGATTATATTAAGTTCCCTTAAAACATCAACCGTTGCCACCATCACTTCAGGAGTTCCCCGGTACCTTCAGTACTCCTTGTAAACCTTCCCAATCTTTCTCCAACCTGCAATACAAAACATATAGTACTATAACCCGAAAAAATTGGATTTTTTTTTTTAAAAATGCTGGGGCCCCC